AAAATAAAATTTTTCAACTATAATACTAAAGAAAAATCGTTGGTCTGCCCGGTGGGGAGGGGGTGATTACATCTATCGCCCCTACCACCCGGTACAACCCTCTTTCATTTTATATTTACAAATGATTTAATTAACATTAGCATATTGTGTGTCATAATATACTAATCGGATCAAATATTAATAAGTAGCTTATATTATAAAGATTCTCAACTAATTTTGTTCACACGCTATGATTTCTGCTTAAAAATTGGACACCCCCCCCCTCAAAAGTCTAGAGTGGGGAGGTCAGTACGTGCAGTCGCCCCCCCTCCACCACCTTCCACCGCCACGATACCAGAAGGGGAACGACATAATATAAAGATTAGTTTATTCATATATATATATATATATATATATATATATATATCAGCCAACATTCTATGGAGAGAGAAGGCGATATAATCCAAAAGTAGGTTAAAATCTCAATATCATTAACGTAAAACACAGAATTCGTATATCAAATGTGTGACGTACTAAAATTCGTCCGCCCCCCCCCCCCCCCCCCCCCGTTTGGATAAAACCATTTTAAAAAATGATTTCAATTTGTTTATTTTAACTTGCTTCATTTAATATAAACTAGGTCAAGAATATTTGTGAGGAAACATTTACTCATTTTTAACTTTGAACATTTTTAAAGGTTATACTAGAGTTTCCCCAATGTGGCCAACGAACTAGTTATTCTTTTCTTAGCGATATCCATTAACCGTTAAATTTCTAGGAAAATCGTTAGATTCATTTTTTTTTTTTAAAATCAGTGTCCAGGCTGGTTCAATGCAGGTTACTGAAGGTTCCGTATTCCTTGAAGTTCTGACTTGAATAGAGGTATTGTAGAAAGGAGATTTTTTTCATTGAATGTATTAAAAGTTAGATAATTATCTTGCCATTTTTCTGAAAGGAAATAAAACGTTTTCGGTAAATGTTCAGTATACAAGGAAGTAAGAGAAGAAGTGCTATTTTCCCTAACATCTTACGGCCTCTGTCTTCTATACAAAGTTAGCAGAGCGAAACACCTTAAAAGGATGATCATATTTCTCAGCACAAAGGCTCTAGATCTACACTGAGCGCCTTTTGTCTGTATTGAATATTTTTAGGTTGGTATAAAAATATTTTCATTCTTCAAAGAACAACAAAAATAATAATAATATATAAAAAAGTTTGTTTTTTTAAAATCCATTCCTCCTTTCTTAAGCTGAGGGTAGTTCCCCTTTCAGACCTTGGTGTCTATAGGGCAATTTTATTAAATTCATCTACGGTTAACGAGGGTGCCATGTGGCCAGGACGACGACCAACCTCTTTTACTTTTTCCCAACTGATGTCAAATACCCATTTAGAGCTGGCTGGACTCAGAGGCGCTCAAAGACCCCGAAATTAATGCTCGCAGTCTTCACCAGGATTCGAACCCAGGACCCCGGTTTGGAAGCCAAGCGCCTTACCGGTCATACATCGTGCCTCCTTAAGCTGATGGTGGTCTAGAATTTCTTAGCCCATTTTTTTTTCTTGAAAGGTTTCAACTTTGCATGGAGTCTTTCCAGTTAGCGTGTACTATCAAGTTCTTCTATAACAGTCCAGCTCATTGCTACATTAGACGGTGCGCAAACTGTTCATGGACGTCTAATTAAATCTTCAACCCCATAGACATAAATAAATATATATATGTTTTTTTGTTCAACCCTTTACTGTATACAAAGAAACATTGCGGGAAAACCCGCTTAAACGTGTTGAAAATAGACAAATTACAAAAATTCATAAGTTTTTTTTCTGTGGCCGAATAGTTTGTAACTTTTTCCCAAATGTGTACAATAACTGTCAAATTTCTAGGGATGCTAGTAAAAGCGTTTCCACGTAGTTTGAAAGATAATAATTAAAAAAAAAAAACACGCAATAGAAAAAAAAATTTTCTCTAAAAAAACAACAACAAAGTTTATCTTCTGAGTTTACGGAACTTTCAAATCCCAGTCTTCACTCCTTTACTATAACATTTTTTTTTTTTTTTTTTTTTTTTGAGTTCAGTAGAGTGTGATTATTTGTATGATTATTTGTACTAAATATAAATGTTCTCTTTGTCCTGGTTTAAGTAACACATTTGTTTTTCTTTCTTTACTCTTTAGGGGGCATTTGAAACTAAAAACAATAATCGTGAGCTACAATAGACAAAAAAATATTGATTGACGTCTTATCTTATCTTATATTATACAGACGTTACTTCAAAAAAAGAAGATGATTACGTTCTTCGTGTCATGTATCTAGTCATGCATTTTAACCAATGACTTAAATTCTGCCAAGTCACTGGTTTTCCTGGATGGCTCATGCAACCCATTCCATGCTCTAATACGTTTCATTTTAATTCAAGAAAATGGTCATCTTAAATTACGCTAAATCTCTATAAGTACCTATCTATTATAGCATTTCGTTTGTTTGCGATAAAGTTCCAGACACCATTGTTAGAATCAGTATATTATTATAAATCCTTTAACATTTTTATAACCTAAGTGATTATAACACTAGACATTAATGGACGTGTAGCTCGTAAGCAATGCAATCTAATCTTCATGTCCGTGTTATGTATCACTATGACTAGGAAGAACGTCATGCTAAAGCTTTAACACAATATGATTTGTTACAAATTTCATTAAACGCAAAGCTTTGAGTCATTCCATGATAGGAATTATGTAGAATTAAAAGTCAATTTGAGTTGACAGCCAGGTAATTAAGCTATAATGCCAGTGCCAGGGTTGGATTTAAACTTATAATGCCAGTGGGTCTTAAACTTTTACCATTAGCGTCCCTCCACTCACAAGATAAAACAAATCAAAAATGTTTGCGCCCCCTTTAACCAGCTGAAATATAGTGGATCGCTGTAAGCTCCCACAATGGGGTTATGAAAAAAATAGACTTAGTCTTATAATTATGGCACAATTTTCCAGTATTTCTCTGCGTTTATATTCAATAGTTTGGAATCCAATTTTATGATTGAATGTTCATTGAAGCTAGTCCTTTAAATTTTTCTATATTTTTTTTTAAGAAAAGTATTTTTAGATACTGTTAAATTCTTTTACAGGTTTGATATATTACAAAAGGGTAAGACCGGCCAATTCCCACATAGAATGTAATTTAACAAAGAAGGAGGCAGCACTGGCCAGTACTATTACGCGAGGGGCATTGGAGGTTAGTATAGCGCATGTGTCTGTAATGAGCGTGATTGTCGTAAGATCACGTTAAGTACATCTTATTTTGTGATTATCTTAAGATCACGTTAAGTACGTCTTATCTTGTGAGGGTCTCAAGATCACATTAAGTACGTCTTATCTTGTGAGGGTCTCAAGATCACATTAAGTACGTCTTATCTTGTGAGGGTCTCAAGATCACGTTAAGTACGTCTTATCTTGTGATGGCCGTAAGATCACGTTAAGTACGTCTTATCTTGGACATTTGTTTCTGCTGTTTCGCCAAAAACCCTCCACAGAAGCATGTTCCAGAGTTTGGCGAAGAAAGCTTAAAGAAAGCTTTGAGTCGATTTCAAAAAGGTTGCGAGAACGACCCCCCCCCCCCCCCCCCCCAAACTCCATGAATTCAGAGGCGCAATAAAGTCGTGTAAATAGAAAGCTGTGGAGTAGAGAGGGGCATAAAGTTTGTCTGTGTTAGAGGCATGCTAGAGATAGTACATGGAGGAGTAACGTAACAACTTAAGTACTATCAAGCCCTGGCATGCTACCCTGCCTCATAGTGGCGCCCGGGTGGAAACGATCGTTGGAGGAAACGATAAGGCTAAAGGGTAGCAAAACAAGACTCCCGTGGGGGTGCCTAAGGGGGTGCGAGAGCATCCTCATTGCACTGCGCGGAGTTGTAATAAGGCTCCCACAACCTTGTCACAATCCAGGCGCTGTTCCTCAAGGTTAGCCTGGTATAGAAAAGGAAAATGGCGGGGGTCTTAGTGTGCGCAACCTCTTGCCACGAGTCTGACCCACCCGCCAGACAGAACAGTGTACACTGTTCTCATTCAGGCCGGTGAGTGGCAGCTCTTGTTCACTTTTGCAGGCCTGGAGTTCCAAGAGCCGAAGGCTCAACTCTACCTGACAGTTTCAAGAAGAAGAAGAAGATGTAATGTTCAGCCCGTGAAATAGATATACAAGAAGCTTAGAGCGGTGTAACATTGTAACAAGAAGCCCAGAGCATTCATCAACATCTGTCCCTTGACTTTCGTCGTAGGGGTGCTGTGACAGTTCGCGTAACCGAATCCCTCCATTTTTCCCAGCCAGCTTTTCTTTGGACGACCCTTTCTTCGTGCTCCATTCACTGTACTTTGAAGGATGACTTTAGACAGTGAGTCATACGTCTTACAATATCCAGAGCAGTGTAACAGTGTAACAAGTAGCCCATAGCAGTGCAACATTTTCAAAAGGAGCCCAGAGCATTGTAACATTGTAACTGGAAGCCCCAAAACAGTGTAACATTGTAACAAGACGCCAAGAGCAGTGTAACTTTGTAACAGGAAACCCAGAACAGTGAAATATTGCCACAGGAAGCCCAGAACAGTGTAACATTGTCACAGGAAGCCCAGAACAGTAACTGTCACAAGAAGCCCAAAACAGTGTAACATTGTAACAGGAAGCCCAGAACAGTAATAAGAAGCCGAGAGCTGTGTAACATTTTAACATTGACGAAGGACACGGAGAAATCTTGCTATTTCTTCTCCGAAAAGATACGGACGTGAACATCTCTGGCACAGTCTATGTCATTGTAACGCTTACTAAAAAAAACAGTGTTACAGAAAACAATAGTAAAACCACTGGTCAAACACTTACAAAGTCCCTGGACTTTGGACTAGCCGTCATGTCAATGGAAAGGTCAACAAAACAAGTACTTTTAACGGATTTTCCCCAAAACTTTTTCTTTATGACAGTTGTTGACAAGACAGAGAGAAACAAAAAACCCCAACATTTCATGCGATAACAAACACGCAAGTTTAAGAGGGCCAGATGTTTTAATAGCAAGATGTATGATGTTACAGTATCAACTATGTGCTTCAACAAACTTGTAATATTGACTAGACAACGTTGTTACACAATCCTGTGACACTAAACTAGCACACACACACACACACACAAAGGAATGTGCTTTAAAACACATTGAAACAAAGTTAGCTTATAATAGACATTATATATACATACATAAAATAATCCAGAACACGGTATTGATTACTGCAAGAAGTTCATGACTGTAATATAATTAATTTGCCTATTTTTAAATGCGTGATAAAATTACATTATGTAAATTTTAAATGCTCAATTAAATTAAATTTTTACTCTTTATATATTTCAAAATAATTTGTATAATTACAATGCTGCACATAGTCACATATCTCATACGATGCCACTATTCAACTGAATCACAAATGCTATTATTTTAATTTCTTTGAAAGCTAAAAAAAATCTTAATGCATATAATAGTGATCAAATTTAGCAAATTTATTGTATGAATGAATTATTTCAGGAAGCTACTAGAAGCTATAGGAATGTACAAAATAGCATGTATCCATGAAGTATGATATCAAACAGCACAGAGTACATCAAAGCAATAAATAATAACTAGAGATACTGGCACCTTATGCTTGAACAAGAGGCTTACAAACAGTTTAATGCTGATAGGGAGGGAGGGAGAGAGAGAAAGAGAAAGAAATAGTAGGAAAGAGGGAGGGAGGGAGGGAGGGAGAGAGAGAGAGAGAAAGAAATAGTAGGAAAGAGGGAGGGAGGGATAATACTCGTAATACTCGTAGGGAATGAAAGGAAAGGAATCAAATAGGTGTTTATATTCAAACAGCTGAAAGGTGTTTTTACGTTTAGATTAAGTGGAATAAATAAATAAAAAAAACGCATGATGGTACATTTGTAGGCAGAATAGAAAATGTCATTGTTTCTGATATGGTAAATGGAGGTTTTATCACATTGCAAAATAAAAGCTTTGTGTTAAGTTTTAAAGATGCTTCAGATTCCAGGGCAAAGCTTCAGGATTTTTTGTTTTGTTTTGTTCAACTGTGGCCTCATTTTGTTGTCAAAACGTTCTGACCGAAAGCGCCCTTCACGTTGCCGGGTGGGCGGTAGCTGCCCACAACAATGACACTGCCTTCTGTACTCTTGGCCTTGCCCATGCCTAGCTCAGTTGTAGCCTTCCAAACAACTTGGGTGAAGTGGCCTGGTGGTAAACAAAATAAATTCAATCAGAAGTTAGACATAGTCTTCTCTTTTCTGCTCCCTGCTTCTCTCACTCTGTTTCTCTCACTCTGTTTCTCTCACTCTGTTTCTCTCACTCTGTTTCTCTCACTCTGTTTCTCTCACTCTGTTTCTCTCACTCTGTTTCTCTCACTCTGTTTCTCTCACTCTGTTTCTCTCACTCTGTTTCTCTCACTCTGTTTCTCTCACTCTGTTTCTCTCACTCTGTTTCTCTCACTCTGTTTCTCTCACTCTGTTTCTCTCACTCTGTTTCTCTCACTCTGTTTCTCTCACTCTGTTTCTCTCACTCTGTTTCTCTCACTCTGTTTCTCTCACTCTGTTTCTCTCACTCTGTTTCTCTCACTCTGTTTCTCTCACTCTGTTTCTCTCACTCTGTTTCTCTCACTCTGTTTCTCTCACTCTGTTTCTCTCTTAGTTCTGCTCTTTCTTTCTCTCTTACCTTATTATATCTCCACCCTCTTTCTCCTTCTCTCTTTTTATTTTTCATTATTTCTTTCTCTTTTTCACTCTCTTTTTCTATACCCTCTTCTTGTTCACTCTCTTTTTCTCACTATTAATTTCCTACCCGATCTTCACCTCTTTCTTTATTTCTTTATTTATACTCCCCTTCTTTTTCATTCTCTTTTTTCACTTTCTTTCTGACTATTTCTTTTTATCTCTCTCTCTCCCTCCCTACCTCTCTCCCTCTCTCTCTCTCTATTGTATATTTATACTGCTAGTTAAGCAGCTGCAGTTAGAGTTCAGCCATGAACATTGTGTTTGTGCCGTTCCTCTAATAATAAGATATCCCCCAAAATAAAAACAAGGTTTCAAAGACAGTTTGTGTGGAAACACAAACTCAAAATCTCCCCCCGAAGTGGTCCACCGAGAGTCTTCAACAGGATTAGAACACGGGACTTTCGGTTCCAAGTGCTTTACCCCTCAGCCACAGCATCTCCATACATTTATTTAGCGTACACTTATATTTTTAAAAAAAAATAGCAATTATTTACCTTATCCTTAAATTCAAAATTAATAACATGTTACATGTAATAAAAAGAACTTAAAAAAAGATTTAATCTACTAAAATTAGATAAATTGGCAACACGAAAAAAAATTCTTGACCTACTTTAAGCTACAAATGACTTAGAAGACTTTTCCCTCACAAATAAAAATTAACATCTCCTTTGTCATTTGTCATACAAACTAGACATAGATCTAGCAAGATCTATACTTACTTTTAGATCTAAATCTAGATTCAAGATCTAAGTCTAGGTCTAGATTATGATCAAAGTCTAGATCTTGAGATAGATCTTAGTCTTGAGCTAGAGTTAGCTCTAAGTCTATATCTAGATCTAGATCTAGAACTAGATATAGAATCTTGATATAGAATCTACTATATCTAGACTAGAACTCGTATGAATTTACATGTTTAATCTTATAATTACTCGACCTAGGCCAATGTTATGATCATGAATAGTAGGCTTTTCGTTACGGGGTAATAGTGTACTAGGCTGTTTGTATCCTATTCATTTCAGTGATTCGGGCACTCTGGACTCGCGGACTAGAGACGCGGTTGAAGGCCGAGCACACCGGGAACCTCCGCCATTTTCCTTCTCTGTACCAGGCTGACAGAGCCGGGGCTTGTCATTTATGAAACGGCCCCTTGAGGAACCGCGCCTGGATTGTTAACGAGGTCGCGGGAGCTCTTCAACAACCCCGCACAATGGGAATACCCCCGCACCACTTAGTCACTCTCGCGGGAGTTTTGTTTCGCTACCCGTTTGGTCTAAGCGTTTTCTCTTACCACCGTTTCCACCCAGACGTCGCTGTGATTAGCATACTTGGTTGGGGAGGTGGGGGGGGGGCACGATGGCATACTGTGTCTTGTAGTTTCAGACGTTACAAATAAAATATAAATCCGATGAGCCGCATGCCATTGTATTGCCAGACATATTAGTTTGGTTGAAGAAATGAAAGACATCTTCTATACGAAAAAAAAATTAATTAATACTCAAAGTAGAAAATATGAAAAGATTGAACACACTTATTGATTTAAATAAAAGATCTATAAAAGTATGAAACATGAAGCTTAAAACTTATTAACTGAAGGACACCTATATAGACACGTGTTCCAGTTTCTTTTATAGGTTTCAGAATATAAAAAAAATCTCGAACCGGATATAAAGTAAAACTTTTCATTTCTAATTAACTCCCTATTATTCCCCAATCTTCTATATAGAGACCTAAAGTTTCTAAAAAGCAATGTGTAAATATATGTCTTGCTTACACATCTTGAGACCCTGTCACGTAGGCATACAATGTTATGCCTATTATGTTTAACACTTTACACTTAAAGTTTTTTTGTGTTATTTCTCTAAATAAAAAAACAAAAAATGCCTGTAAAATGTTTTCTTGTACAATGCTTTACATGTTTCGGATGTTCCTTCAGAGTTGAAGATAATTTACTTCCTAGTCCAAACTTCCCGCAGGACGACGGGGGATGGGAGCGGGCAGGGTTTGAGCCGGGACCATCGATACGTCCGAACTACAGTCCAGCGCGGAAACCGCACGACCAGGCAGCCATGTAATGTAATGCTTGTTACAATGTTATGACCTACCAGAGTTTGGATTGTTCTCTGAAGAAAAATTATGGTCTTTAATTTCCCGGTACCACATTTCTGTCACCTCTTCACCTAGAGAAGGAAAAAAACAAACAGTATCTAGTTCTGTCTAGTCTAGCATAGAAATAGAATAGAATAGCATAGAAAATAAATGTGTTAGTTTTATAACATTATAAGGTATCAGGTCAGGCTTTTAAAAAGTTTATATAAGGCTTGTCTTCGAGTTCGAAGATCAACGAGGAATGCAGTATTTCCCGTGGCTACACAGCCCCAGCTGTGACCTATATATTTTGCGACATTCAGGGCAAGCATAACCATTGTCCTTCGGTGGTCGATTAAGATTTGCTTTTCGCAGTCCGCGTCTGTCCTCGGCAGCGGATTTTCTTTTGGTCTCAAATGTGTAACCCGCGACCTTTGTAAGTGACCTCCAGCTGCCTCGTTCTGAAAAGATCATTTAACGGACCACCAACTATACCAGCAAAACATGTTGTTTAGACCTAGGCCTACACAAATGATTGCAAGAGTTATTCTTCCTTTTGTAGAGTTATAACAAATTCAATAAATAAAAATATTGATTTCAATAGTTTTGACAATAAACATTTGTTTTTGAAAAGGTGTACAGCGCCTTCTAGGTTACCAGGTTGGGAGAAGGCAAATCACACCCAAGACCATCGTATCACGTGACGGGAAGTCTGGACATACCAAAGACGCCCAAACAGAAAGGATCAACAATTTCGACATATATATATATATATATATTTTTTTTTTTAAAGGAAAAAAAAGAACATCTAGAATTGAAAATTTTCCTTACCAGAAATATCCGCTCCTCCAGTGGCCCATTTGGTAGCGATGTTTTCACCGATCCTGGATCCATTTAGCATTGACTTACTGTGGGCAAAGGTGTTGGTCTTGACGAGGTGTTCAGCCCAGCTTTGGGCGTAGTTGTTCAGGTCTTCACTGAAACACAAACACAAGAAAAACTTTTTTTTAACTTTTTAAACGAAGCATATATGAAGTGTAAATGTATTAATTAGCCTGGATTAGTCTTGTGATTAAATCTGTTACAGATCTAAGACTCAACAATAATAAAATCTGTGCGATTATAAATATTTTTACCAATTGTTTTTGTTAAGCGTAATTCCATGCTCAAAGCTTTCTCAAAACGCTATGATCCTATCACTTGTCTTGACCAGTCGGAAAAGGGGGTTTTTTTGGAGGAGGGGGGGGGGGAGAAGATGGCATCTCTGGGAGTGTTGTCGTGATCGCTTTTTAAATACTTTTATTTTTAAAAAAAATTGAACGGCTTGAATTCAAGCTCAAGCCTCCTCAAGTAGACATAAAAACCATTGCTTTAGTAAAGTGCTTATGAAAATAGAAAGTTGTATTGTTAGTTTCAGACTAAATCTACACAAAGTATAAAGGGGACTAATTCAACTTATACCACCTCACATGTCAAGTACATTTTCTTTCCCTAGCTCGATACCAAACAAAAAAAATTAATTACCAATAGAATAGACTATAGAATAAAACCTGACCTAAGTTTAAGTGCCGGGGCTCCATGTTTGGAACGTCTGTTGTTGTGCGCTGCTAGTGCCTCTTGGCGAAACTGTTTTAAGTCGGTGCCATCTCCAGTGACAGTCTTACTCTATAATATACAAACATCCAGTCCTTGGTGTATGCAACGCATTAGATAAACATTATACAAAGTAGAAAATACATTTTCTATTTATTGTTTGTTTGTAAAAAAAAAATGTTTTACATGCTACGGATGTTCTTTCAGATTTAAAGATAACTGCATGCTCAGGCAGGGCGATAGCGGGGGGGGGGGGGGGTAGCAGGGGTCATCGAACAGTGGCGTA